GACAAACACCTTGCTGGGGTCATTTGACCCCAGTACTCTTTCCTGCCATGGCGGCGGGTTGAACTTGATGATCTGCTCAGGTCCCTTCTGACCCTACTAACTATGAAACTATGAAACTTGAATAAAGTTTGGAGCTATGACTTATGATATGTGCAGTGTTGTTTTTTATCATTTGAATGCTGAAAATGTATCTAGTACTATTAATGTAGGTTATGGTATAGACAAAGTCCTGTCAGGACAAGTTCATGAGTAAGACTGGACCACACAAACCCTAAGCAGTGCAAGTTGAGTTTAGTACTAGGAGCTGTCTCAGGTACTTCATAGGTACTGGTCTACAAATATTATTTAAAAACCCCATGGTGTTTGAAAGCTATAGGGTTAAGCCCAAGCTATTAACTGATAAAAATGCTGTTCAAAGTAAACATTTCTAAATCAAATATAGATATAAGAAGAAAAGAATGAATGGTGCTGTGTCCTCAGTTTAGTAGATCTACACCAATTTACACCAGCTGAGGATCTGGCCTTTTGTATAGGGGAAATAAACAAAAAAAATAAAGGCAACAAAAAGTTTACACTGGGAAATATAAGACACTAGTTCAGTTAACAGGACTTGTAATAATAGTAAACAATACATGCACTAGTGCAGGATCAGGTTTTAAAATTACAGTCAATTGAAGTTATGCTGAACTTTGAATTAAGTAAGTGATAGACAAACATACTAAGGCCTTGTTCCATGTAGCTGGGATATCTTGGGGTGAGATTACACTTTAGAGTTAGCAGATGCTAATTCTAACGAATGTTAATTTTTGTTAAGGTTAACCAGTCTTGGATGATAGCTAGTTCACCTGGGGGCAGTGCCTCCTAGGATACTGGAGGACTGCAGCTTGATGATTTTATCTCAAGTGAACACCCAGAAGTTAACTGAATTCAACCTAAGTAGCACAGCTCAAAAATAATCTTGGCATGAGTAATCTAATAGAGTAATGGAAACAGGATCTGATGTAGATTGCAGTTGGATTATTTGTAAACACAAAAATATGCCTTGCTTTTGAGTTAAACTCTCAGGTTGCTTAAGTGGTTCACAAAATTGAGACCTGGAGTAGCTTGCATGTTAAAATCTTCAGAAGTATGATCAGAAATTACAACACTCACATTCAGTAAATAACATAATTTGTAAAAAAAGCGGTAGAAATTGTATTTCTCAATAGTGTCGATACACCTGTTACACTCTAGAGAACCAAAAATGTATTTTAAAATATAGCCAGAATGCAAAATTGTAAACAGCTTCATATTCTTTTTTTTTTAACATACTGTATTTTTTCCTAATCAGAGAAAGTCTCTGGTATATTCAGTTTTTAGAAACAAAGGAATCTCTAAACCCAGAAGGAAGGAAAGTTTTCATGTTAGTCATTAATTGTATTAATTTTTGTTGCAGGTCAGAGGTGTTAAAGGAGTGTTTTTGGCTAATCAGAAAATTGATGGAAAAGTGACAACTCTGATAACCTATAACAAAGGCCGTGACTGGGACTATCTGAAACCTCCAATCACTGATATGAATGGTAAACCAACCAACTGCAAACCTGTAAGTGGTTCCTTTCAACTGAGCAGTTAAGTCATCTCAAATACCCCATGCAGAGCTTAAATTTTCCTCTTTTGTACCAGTCTCATAACTTTTACAGTGGTTATGTGAATTACTGGCTCAAATTCAGATGTAGCTTGAGTAGGGGAAATGTCTGCACCTTGCATTTTCTTATTCTAGGATTTAGCATTACTCACATGGGACAAATTTGCTCTAAGATGCCTTACACACAGCCCCAGTCAAGCTGATCATTTATTTAATGTTATTTTTCCATTACTCCAAGGAACTTGTTTGGTAATGAAAACTAGTTCAGTTTAATACACAAATGCCTTTTCTTTTTCTATCATGAATTCTGTTGTTTCACCTTAAAACAATATTGTCCTTATAATATAGGGAGGGGTTTGCTCATTGGCTTAGAAATACATGTGTAATAGCCAGTCAAAAGCTTTTTGTTTCTGTGAGCTGATGTTATTGCAATTTGTTTACTTGTTCTAGTTACACATTACATTGCATTTTTATTGTTCAAGCTGCGCTAACAAGCAGGTTGTTTGTGTCTGGATCTCTGCACCATTGGACTCTTAGATCTCTGCATTGTGTTTCATCATAAATGCCCTCAGTCATGAAGCAAGACAGTAGGATAGGCTTCTCTTTATTCTTTACACATGCTCGGGGCATGGGGCTCTGAGAACTGCTGTAATTAAAGCGCCCACAGCATCTCATGTATTCAGCATCCCATGCTCATTACTTCAAAATGGTGGCAGGGGTGCTTTGACTAAAACTCATTTGACAAGCTTTAGGTAAAGTGCCCCTGCCACCATTTTGAAGCCCAGGGACACTGAATACATGAAACGAGGAAGCTGCTGGAGCTCATTAATTATCATGCTCCAGCAGACTCAATCTGCTGGAAGGGATTATTTGAATCTGCTTCCATGTGCTGTTAATTACAGCACGTCGGAGCAGCATCTCCACATGTCTGTAGGCACCCAAAAGTCTTGTGTTGGGTGAAAAAACTCCTTTTAGAAGAGTGAATAGGACTTGATATAAAGCCCAGTAGAAACACTCCCATTGACTTCAGTGGGCTTTGGACTGGGCTCCAAGTCCTCACCTGTGACCTCCTCTTGCTCCTGGTGAAGTCATTGGCTATGCATCCATCCTTTTCATTGGAAACAATATTAAGCTTGAAATACCACTGCAGAAAGACTTAAAATCATTAGGTAATTAGAGAGATGATTAAACAATGTCATTTGAAAATATTTTCAAATTATTTTATTGTCCCATCAGAAGTTGTTTTAGTACAAACAAATCTAAATCTAATCTGGAATCTAGTTATTTTTTATCTGTTTATAAAGGCAGCCCTGGGATGGTGATGACCAACAAACAATAACAAATATATCTTCACTGCTTTTATTACTACCTCAAATCCCTGCTCAAAGTCTCCAGTTAGTGACTGTATTGCAAGTTATTTTATACTCTAAGTTCTGGGTCATTTATGGATTTCAGATCTTATTTTTGAGACCACTGAGATATTTATAGTCTGTACAACAGGTTCTTGTTAGCAGCCTAATTTTTCACTCTAGACTTTTGCTGTGTGAAGTGCAGTCATTCCTCTTTTCAGTAGGACAGCTGTTACTGAATGCTACTTTCTGATCATGCTTTAGTCACCAAAATAGTGGGACTGCTGTTATCAGCTTGTTAAATACTTTCTTCTTCCTCTTATCTGTAAAGCCTGACTGCCATCTTCACCTCCATCTCCGCTGGGCAGACAATCCATATGTGTCAGGAACAGTCCATACCAAGGATACTGCACCAGGGCTCATAATGGGCGCAGGTAAATCCATGTGACACTTTTCCCCTACAACCACTTGCTACTTCTTGTGGATCAAGTTTAGTTTTTGAAAAACAATATTGTCTTGATTATATTGAAAATGTTGTGAAAATGACCCCACCAGGGCAGACAATGGTGACAAACCAATGTAATGGATTTGACTGAATTATTGAGTAAGAGGTTATTGATTTTTCTGCTCTATATCCTGCAGGTGCCATTTCTCCCAAGAGATTTTGTAGAATAATAGATCAGGAACATTGTGTATATCTATCTATCAAGCATAAATGGTTATCAGTCCCATAGTATATGAGCATAGCAGTCTTTAATGTATTTGTCTTGACAGTGACTCTGAGAGTTAAGGCAGTAGTACAGTTTATCTCCATTTCAAGAGTGGGGAACTGAGGCTGAGTGAATTGCCCAGGGTTACACAGGAAATCTGTGACAGAACAGGAACTCATCTTGGTTATTCTAAGTCCTAACAGCTAGCTGTTGTTACAACCACTGGCCTGTCCTTTTTTTCTTCATTTTCTGCTAACACTAGTAATCTGATCTAGTATGGAAAATCTTTTGCTCCTTATGTATAATGTGCAGCATTCACCATACTGTATTTCTGAACACCCCTTTTCCTAAGGAGGCTGGCTTGAGAGGTAAAGGACTACTGCAGCAGTGCATGATCTGTGTTCTTCAATGTGATATATGTTGCATAGCAGTAGCAAGAATTGCCTAACCAAAGTAAAATAAAAGCTCTCCAGACAAATGAAATGAAAAATGTTCAGACAAGTCCATTTAGCTTGTTACCTGTGTTATTCAACAAATCAGGTTCTATCATTCCTGTTTTTTTCTTTTTTCAAGTTATTTAGATGTCAAATTTAAGTGATAATATTAACTTATTTATTATTTTAATGTGTATCTTAGGTTATAATTAAACACAAACACACACACATGCAAAATATGTTTTCCTTTCATCATAGAATCATAGAAAATTAAGGTTGGAAGGGATCTCAGCAGGTCATCTAGTCCAAATCCCTGCTCAAAGCAGGACTATCCCCAACTATATGATCCTAACCAAGGCTTTGTCTGCTTGGGTCTTAAAAACCTCCAAGGATGGAGATTCCACAACCTCTCTGGGTAATCTGTTCCAGTGTTTTACTACCCTTCTAGTAAGAAAGTTTTCCTAATATCTAACCTAAACTTCCCGTGCTGCAGCTTGAGACCATTGCTCTTTGTTCCATCATCTGCCAGGACTGAGAACAGTCCAGCTCCGTCCTCTTTGGACCCCCCTTGAGGTAGTTGAAGGCTGCTCTTAAAACCCCCTCAGTCTTCTCTTCCCCAGACTGAATAAGCCCTGTTCCTTCAGCCTCTCCTCATAAGTCATGTGCCCCAGCCCCTTACCATTTTCTTTGCCCTCTGCCGTACTCTCTCTAATTTGCCTACATGCTTTCTGTAGTGGGGAGCCCAAAACTGGACACAGTTGTGGCCTCACCAGTACTGAATAGACAGAAATAATACCTTCCCCTTCAGTTTTCTATCCACCTTACAGTCCATTCATCCAACCCATCTTTCATTAGCTTGCTTGCAAGAATGTTGTGGGAGACTGTATCAAAACCTTCACTAAACTCAAGGTATATCATGTCCACTGCTCTCTCCACACCCAGAAAGCCAGTTATCTCATCACAGAAGGCAGTCATGTTGGTCAGGCATGACTTGCCCTTGGTGAATCCATGCTGACTGCTCCTAAATACCCTTTTTACCTCCAAATGCTTAGAAATGGGACTGAGGTGAGGTTGACCAGTCTGTAGTTCCCTGATCTTCCTTCTTCTCTTTCTTAAGGATGGGCGCTATATTTGCGCTTTTCCAGTCATCCAAGACTTCTCCTGATTGCCACAATTTTTCAAAGATAATGGCCCGCAGCTCTGCACTGACATCTGCATCTGGCCATATAGACTTGTACATGTCCAGCTTTTCTAAATAGTCCCTAACTTGTTCTTTTGCCACTGTTGGCTGCTCACGTTGTCCCCAACTGTGCTACCTGATGTATTACTCTGCAGTACCTTGCCTGTGAAGACAGGTAAAACAGGCATTAAGCACTTCAGCCTTTTCTTCATCATCTGTGAGTACGTTGCCTCCCCCACTCAGTAAGCGACCCACACTTTTCCTGATCTTTCTCCTGTTGCTGACATGCTTGTAGAAACCCTTTTTGTTACCCTTCATGTCCCTTGATAGCTGCAACTCCAGTTACACTTTGGCCTTCCTGATTTCATCCCTGCATGCCTGAGAAATGCTATTATACTCCTCCCTAGCTGTTTGTCCAACCTTTACACTTCTTGTAAAGTTTCCTTTTTGTGTTTTAGCTCACTGAGGAGTTCCCTGCTAAGCTAAGCTGATCTTCAGCCATACTTCCTAGTTTTCCTGTGCATCAGGGTGCTTTGTTCCTGTGCCCTCAGTAAGGTTTCTTTGAAATACAACCAGCTCTCCTGGACTTCTTACCCACCTCAGACTGGCCCCCCGGAGATCCTGCCCAATCAGTTCTCTGAGTGAGTTAGTCTGTTTTTTTGAAGTCATCACTGACTTCTGTCTTTACATACCTTAGGGGAAGATTTGAAACTTTCAGTTATTCTGGTAGACTATAGTGGACATCACTCATCTTTCAAAAATATGGTTTGTCATTAACTTTTTAAATCAGGGCTGTGTAGTTGCTGGCCTGCAGGCTGCATGCAGCTTTTGATGGGTTAACATGCAGCCCTCAGGCTGCAACCCAGCTACTGTTGTCCTTACTTTTCTGGCTGCCTACAGCAGTAGCTGGGGGCTCTGTGCTCCCTCTTCCTCCTTTTGCTTCTGCTGTGGGGCAGAGCAGCACAGTGTAGTGCAGCTCACAACACTGGGGGAGCCAGCAGCCTGGAGCACCCTTGGGGCATGATGCCACAGGAGAGAAT